TCATATGGAAGCAAAAAAAGTGCCGCAATAGCTAAAGCAATCTTTAGTGAAAAGAACAGTGCCAGAAACTTCACACACTCCCAGACTTCAAGATTTACTACAAGGCTCCAGTAACCAAACCAGCATAGTACTAGTACAAAAACTGACACAGACCAATGGAACAGGACAGAGACTTCAAAAATACAACCACAGATCTTCCCCTTACTTATCTTTGACAAAGTTGGTGAGAACAAACATTGGGGAAAGGAAACCATATTAAGCAAGTGGTGCTGGGAAAACTGACTAAAAACATGAAGAAGAATGAAACTGGACCCCTATCTATCACCATATATAGAAATTAGACCAAAATGGCTCAAGGATTTAAATGTGAAACCTCAAACTATAAGAATCTTAGAAGAAAACTTAGGGAACACTCTCCTGGACATTGGGATAGGCAAGGAGTTCATGGTCAACTCCTTAAAAGCAAATGCAGCAAAAGCTAAAATTGACAGGTGGGACCTTATCAAACTGAAAAGGTTTTGCACAGCAAAATAAACCATCAAGAGTACAGAACCAACACATAGAACGGTAAAAAAATATTTGCAAGCTATGCATCTGACAAAGACCTAGCATCCAGGATCTATAAAAAAAACTCAAACGAATTGACAGAGAAAAAAAAGTGGGCAAAGGACATGAACAGACACTTCTCAAAGGAAGACATACAAGCATTCAACAAATATATGAGAAAATGCTTAGCTTCACTAAACATCAGAGAAGTGCTCATGAAAACCACAATGAGATACCACCTCACACCTGTCAGGGTCGCTATCATTAAAAAGTTAAAAATAACAGGTGTTGACAAAGCTGTGGAGAAAAGGCAACACTTCTACACTGTTGGTGGGCATATAAACTAGTTCAGCCTTTGTGGAAAGCAGTATGGCAGTGTGAACTAAAAATTGAGCTACTATTTGACCTAAGAATTCGACTTCTGGGAATCTACCCAGAGAAACAAAAATTGCTCTACCAAAAAGATACCTGCACATGCATGATTATTACAGCACTATTCACAACAGCAAAAACATGGAAATAACCCAGATGCCCTTTGAAAGTGAATGAAATACAGAAAATATGGTACATTTACATGGTGCAATACTGTGCAGCCATAAAGGAGAACAAAATATTGTCCTTTGCAACAACATGGATGCAACTGAAGACCATTTTCTGAGTGAATTATCACAGAAATAAAAAACCAAATCTCACATATTTTCACTCATAAGTGGGGTCTAAACATTGAGCACATGGGTCTAAGGGTGGGAACAACTGACAATGGGCACTGCTAAAGGAGGGAGCGAGGGGAGACAAGGAGTACACAACCTCTCACTGGGTACCATTTCCACTACTACAGAGGAGAGGACTTGCTGGAGTCAAGTGTCACCTTTGCCGAAATACTTACAGAGGGCTCCCCCAAAAAATAGAATTTATTATTTATTTATTTATTTATTTATTTATTTATTTTGAGTTGGAGTCTCACTCTGTCGCCCAGACTGGAGTGTAGTGGCCGCTCCCGGCCACCGCAGCCTCGATCTGCTGGGCTCCGGCGATCCTTCTGCCTCAGCCTTCCAAGTAGCCAGAATTACAGGCATGTGCTACCACGTCCGGCTAATTTTTTGATTTATTGTAGAGATGAGGTCTCGCTGCCCAGGCGGGTCTTGAACCCACGGGCTCAGGCAATCCCCTCACCTCAGCCTCCCAAAGGCGCGGATTACAGGCTGAGTCACCGAGCCTGGCTAGAATTTATTTTTGAAAGATTGGGTATTTTTTCCTACATGTTTAAACTTTGGTAACATTCAAAGTACTCTCCATTTGATGCAATACACCTACTGAGACACTTTTTTCCACTGCTCAGAACAGTTTTTGAACTCATTCATTTTGTTTCCTTTTAATGCTTCTGCCATTTTTGTTTGTTTGTTTTACATCTTCCACATGGGTAAAACATTTCCCTTTGAGGATTTTTTTCATCCAAAGATAACAAAAATAAAAAATCACTCAGGGCAAGATCAGATGAATAGGGAGGGTAGGGCATGGAGGACTTGCCATTTTTGGTCAAAAACTGCTTGACACTCAGTGCTGTGCAGGCAGGTGTGCTCATTAATCAACCACCATGAAGTGGGCAAATGCTCTGAAAAAATCTCCAAAAAAAATTCACCAAAGCCAAACACTGCCTCTCACAACAACACTAGCTGATACATTCATGCCAATAGGTTCCTAGATCCCTTATCTAGCGGGGGATGCCAGTACTATAAGGGGCCTACCCTCCAAAAAATATTTTTTTTTATGGGGGGATTCCCCCTACATATCAAATCCTTACATGAGTCAACAGCTCTAAAATAGAAAAATAAAAAAAAGGAGACAACTAAATATCTTTAAAAAGTTAAATAATGTATATAAAATGCATAAACTTGGCAAAGAGTTACATTAATAGAAATTAATATAACTTTATAATCACTCTGCGATGTATATATATTATAATCCTGAACCTGCATTTTACATAATGGAGCTTTGGAGAACTATTTTGTCTAATCCATGGAAGGAGAAAGTGATAAGCCCAAGCCTTAAATCCATCTGACCAATTCCAAAGTACTTTATCCTTTCTTTCTTCCTCCTGAGTCTAGAAAGTCAAGAAATTGGAAGCAAATTTATTCCTATTTAGATCACTACTTGCTGAGGACAGCCTAGGAAAATACACTAGATTGAGAATCCAACACGCTGAGAGGTCTTGCATGACCTTGTCATTCTGTATAAGGTGAACCCCGCCCCTAAGGTTCTTTGTGATCTTCACTGAGTTGTGAAGATCCAGAGTCCATTGTGCACAGCATAGCATGGAACTAGCTGTCTTTCCTCAACGATGATCATCACACTCCTGCTCGACCCAGTTCTGCAGTAATGTGGAATAGTTGTCCATGTCTGTTTGCTGTCTCAATAGCTGTTGCCAGTTTGTTGTATGCACACATTTTTGCCGCCAATGCCCATGACAGATCCTCATAATTTCAATCCTGAATCATTGGAAGTGTTTTCTCTAAAATTCACCTAGGTACATTGTTGCCTTCTATGCCCTAGCCCAAATTTCAGATCTTTCATTTTTTCAAACAGAGTCATTAGTCTCATGTTTCAATTTCCTACTGGGAATGCCTTCTCCCTTCTTCCCACTTGTGCAAAACACCAGTGAATTTTATAAAAAACTACCTGCTTCCTCTAGCAAAGCTGTTCTGACTATTAAAATTTCAACCTCACTCCCACACCATCCTCTTTTTTTGAAAAAGGACAGCACTGAAGATAAGGAAGGGCTACCTGGCCATCGTCTTTAGGAGGAAGATGTTCTATTCTTTAAAAATCATGAGTAAACTTTAATTCATCAAGAATGACTCAGACACTCATTTTATTGCACCCGAGTACTAGAGGCAATTATTAAGCTTACAACCTCCTTGCTATACTAGAATTTAGTGATTCATCTTATTCAAGATATCTTCTTCTAGTTATGTCACCTTCCCTTAAGGAAGACTGGAAGGTCACACTGACCACGCTCACCCCAGGCATACAACTATAGAGCACTATAGAGCATTAGCATGTACTTTGAAATGTATGGAGAGTTCCCTAGTTTATGCTCACCCCAGGCATACAACTATAGAACACTATAGAGCATTAGCATGTACTTTGAAATGTATGGAGAGTTCCCTAGTTTATATGTTGAAAATCAAATGATTACTGATATTGTGTAAATAAAATTTAAGCAGAAAGTTTACTTCTTCCAAGAAATGTTCTTTCACTTTGCCTTCTAGTGACTTGAATTTTCGATATTGATGATTTTTAAGTAGCTAAGAGTCACACATTCACATAAGTTACTGAGATGAGGGATTCTATATTTAGTAATTTTCCTTCCAATGTGTACTGTTTTGTAAGGGTTAAATGAATTGGAAGCCTCAAGTATAAAGGTTATTATAAGCATCAGAAATCAACTATAATTCCATTTTATGATGACCAACTCAAGGAGAAAATCACAATGACCTGATACAAATGGGAAGAAATGTTGACATTTGGTTTTTATGAGCTTCTGAGTGTGAATTCGGTCTATTCATGAACAGATTTCATCATGCATTAAATAGTTACAGAGATGCTTTGTGCTCTGTTATAGCACACCAAGGAGCTTTTATACATTTTGACAACTTGAGTAAGAGATAAATAACAACACATAATATTTTCACATTGAAAGTATATAGTTTTAAATGAAGTAACTGTCTTTAGTTACTAAGTTCACACACTTAGAGTTATCAACGTTAGACCAGGAATGGACCCAGAATGTTAGTGTGAAGCGAAATCTCCTCTGTGATGCATTGCTTAATTTATTTTCTGTCACTCTTATTTCTAGCAGTGCATATCCTCTGTGAAGGGATCATTCCACTATTTACGATAATGAGGATTATAATACATTCTTCCATATTCATTTAGATGAGACACATTCAGATTTGTGAGTGATTTATTTGCTGTCATCAAGAAGGGAAAACCAATTCAGACAGAAAATTTATTTTATATTCTCCTTTGAACCATTTAGTTAGCAAGGAAGTGCCATTAAGTGCCTTAAAATATGACAAACCTCCAGGAACTCCAAGACATGTTATATTCGTTTGTAAGCTAGATGTTCTGTCTCCTGAAACATGACCTATAAGAAGTTTTATCACTTATCAGGAATTTAAGTGTAACATCAGTTGCATTCTTGCCATAAAGTGTGTTAGCCCTTCTCCTTATATTCAATGGCAGGACAGAAGCAAAATCCCCTGCCTTCCTTTCTCACCCCCATAATAGCTCATTATCCACTAAGCACACGAGTCCATGTGAACGATCATTTTGACACGGTGATTCTGATAAGAAATATCTTCTGAAATAAACTGTTATGCATACTGTAGTCACTACGTCTCAGGTATCCCAAGTAAGTTTATGGTAAAAAAAGAGGTGATTCGCTTGCTTACCCCAGTTCTTTGAACTTCCATGAATGTGGCTCTTTGGAAGGCCTTCTCCCACACGGCCAGCTCACTGCCAAGTTCCACATTGAAAACATGGCTCTTCCCGTGGCCAGTCATGACACTGAAGCTATACAGCCTCTGGTCCTCAAAGTCAAAGTCTTGAAGACCCAGATATAAGTTTGCTTGTAACCAGCAGTCATCCATGAGCCAGAACTGAAAAACAGCACAGATTGGAAATATATCAAAGTTGAAAAATCATTCCCAAACTGAGGGCCTTTGGGAGTTGGGAGGAGGAAGAGGGTTTGCTTAGCTTGGTGAACAGTCTCCTGGGCACATACTTGAAGGCAAATGCAGGAACAAAGTGTCCTTCTTGTACATTGCTTGTACATTGCTGGTATAAAAATGGGCCCATAAATAAATATTTGTAAATAAATGATGACCCACCTCTAATTATCTATCAATGCCTTTCTCGTAAAATATTAATTGCTGCATTTTTCTATGTTTTAACTTTAAAGAAAAACATGAAAGTCTTAAGACTTTGATGTACACGTTTATTATGAAACCAACAAATATTAGAAACAACAGTTCACACTATTACTAAGCATTTTTCCTGTGCCTGGGAGTTCCTGTAGAATCAGTGGGCTCTTTCTGTGTGAATGTGTATGCATGCATGAATGTGTATGTTGTGCACATGTGAATGTGTGGGCATGTAAGTATGTGTGATGTGTATATGTTGTTCACTCATATGAACCTTGAGTATGGAAATTTCACCTTAATTTCTGAGCTTCCAGAGTCTTTTCCTCTGCTTGGGATACACAGAGCCTATTCAATATATAGTATTATAAGACATAAACCAATAGTAAAATATTAGTCATTGATCTTACTTTTCAGAAACTATTACTATAGGCCACAGAAATTAAATGTCTAAGATTGCTAACCAAATAACTCTTGGACGGTGTTTATATGGGCAATGCATCAATGGAATGGCTAATTACAGTTGGCCTTGGAATGACCCAAGGACTAGGAGCACTGATCCCTATGCAGTTGAAAATCCACATATAACTTTTGACTCCCCCAAATCCTTAACTTCTAGTAGATTATTGTTGAACAGGAGGCTCACCTATAACATAAACAATCAATTAATATCTTTTATGTGATATATTTATTACATACCACATTCTTACAATAAAGCAAGCTAAGCTGGATAAGGTGGCATGTGCCTGTAATCTCAAGTATTCAGGAGGCTGAAGCAGGAGGATCACCTGAGCCCAGGAGCTCAAGACCAGCCTGGATAACACAGCAAGACTGCATCTCCATAAAAGACAAGGATAAAGAAAGCTAGAGAAAACAAAATGTTATGAAGAAAATCAAAAGGAAGAAAAAATACATTTACAGTACTGTACTATATTTATTGACACCATGAGTTTACACTGACTCTGAATGAATCAGATGAATGACTCAGATGAATCTTCTGTCTGAAATGGCAGACAACCATGGCCTCAGACCTCAATCCACCATACACATCCAGTAATTCAACTTTATTTTTTGTAATGCCATGACATCTCCTGCTTCTTAGGAGCATTTCCAGCATAACCAGTGGAACTTCGTGTGGGTCCCATGATGTTATTCAAGGTTTACATTATTTCACTAAACAGGATGAAAAATATGCAAGACTCTTAAGAGATCACTTTTTACTATACTGCAATTTACTGGAAAGATGAATTGCTCAGATGGATACAATTAGAGTCACAAGACATTTTTAGCAGAAACTGGCAACACTTAAGCTCACCACAATAGTAAGTATTGGAAAAAATATGCATATAGGTTGACTTATGCTGTCAAGTCCATATTGTTCAAGGGTCAACTGTATTTCCTTTCCTATCACTGGTTATAGTTGGAGAGCTGTGCATTATACTAGAAGAAAATCAAGCTTTGAGTCAAACAGACAAGACATATGACCTTTTTTTATTAAGTACTGGCTGTCTGACCTTAAGCAATTTACTTCTCTCTGAGCCTCAGTTTTTGAGCTATAAAATGGAATCATAATAAAAACGCTATCATGGGCTTTGAACTGCAGCACAGCCACAATATGTAGCACACACATCCTGGACTCATTAGTTAATTACCTGTTTGTATGACAAAACACACTGTACCCAAGACCATGCTGAGCCCTGATGTTGATTTAGATTTGGTATCTAATTTTCAACTAACTGACTTCCTGACAAAGTCAGCTATGGAATTATCCAAAACAGCATTTCCAACGGACTCATCTACTGATGAGTACCCTTCCCCCACCTAGGACTGCAAAATATAAAAGCCATCTTACTATGCTCACTTTCCTGAACAAACAAATGAAAAATGGCTGTGCTTTAAAAATCACATAGATTTTACCTATTTATAAGTTATGAAACAACTATAGCAATAATAAAGAGAATTTAAAAGATAAATATATTACTGTAATATTTTGACATCTGATTTACTTTACAGTATGGCAATAATTATTAACAAAATAATTAACATCAATATGGCAACAATTATTAGGAAGTAATATTCTCTTTCATGCAATGTTTGTTTGTACATATGATTGTATAATCTTGGAATTACTTAAAATATACCATGAGATTTTAAAATATTTTTCAGTGGTCTTGATTATACTTCAAATATTCACTCATTTTTAAAAAATTATTAAACTTTTTCATGCATATAACGCTCTGATTCCTCTGAACAACTTATTTAGAATCAATTCTGAGAAGATTACTTGATCAAGCATGGGGCTTTTTTAAAATTATGTACCCTCACCAAAAAATGCATTGTAAGTTCTATAAAAGTGAAATTAATGATCCATATTTAGCTCATTTTCCCAGATATTTCCTGTAGCTTCTTTAACAATAGTAACTCAGTCTTTGTGAACTGCAGTATACAATATGACTCAAAAACTGGAGCATTTGCTGTTAAAGGTAAATGGCTGCTGAAAACAGTCCATAAGTGGTTAGACAGGACTTCCTGGTCCCACAGGTGGGTTAAACCTTAGGTTTCTTGCTGTTTCTAGGTCCTTGACAGTATTCACTTTAGAAAACTTATTGTAAATTCTTTCTCTGTTCTTTGAGATGTAAGTCTTTCTCCTGTTGCTGGTATAAAACCCAACAGTGTCTTTCTCAAGGACCTGGGAGAAGTCCCTCTGAAATGTAATCATCAGGAAGATGATGCCTGCCCTGCCCAGCTTCCCTTCATGTGGGAAGATAGGAGCCTAACCTCTTTGAGCTCCTGGCTCCAAATTGTGAAATCACCTCCTGTTGTGAAGAAAAAAAAAGAGAAAGTTCTCTTTTTCTTTGAATAAGGCCAATTCGCAGATACAGAGGGTCCTTGGTCCTCCCCTCACTCCCATTTTTGGAAACTCTCTCTCCCTTTGTTTTGGCAGTTTTCAGTCTTTCTCCCCTTGAATTATAACATAGTTGAATAAACTCTTCTTGTCTTCCTGCCTTTAACTTTAGTGCAATTTTGTCCTAGCATGATTTTACGATGATCACTTAGGAATTCTTCTTACTTTCAGTGTTGTAATTATCCAAATAACACTACTCTAAAAAATCCCTGAAGACCATGTTATGGACCTCTTAATGTATACTCTGTGCAGACTCCCAGAACACCAACATTTCTAACAAGTGAAACAGAACAAACTTTAAGATGAGCTATCAATCCTAGGTTTCACCCTTTCCTCCAACAGACGGCTGGAAGTTAGTCACCTACATTGTACTTCTGAGATCTTAGCTATAAAATGGAGTCTTGAATAGCCAAAACAATCCTCAGCAAAAGTAACGAAGTAGGAGGTATCACATTTCCAGACTTTAAACTTTACTATAAGGCTACAATAATCAAAAAAGCCTGGTATTAGTACAAGAACAGGTATATAGACCAGTGAAATAGGACAGAGATTCCGGAAGCAAAAACTCGATTTCTCAACCAACTCATCTTTGACAAAGCCTCCGCCAACAACCACTGGGGAGAAGAGACCTTATTTAGCACATGGTTCTGGGAAAACTCACTGACCACATGCAGAAGAATGAAACTGGATGCCTGCCTATCACCAAACACAAAAATCCACCCTAAATGGATCAAAGAACCCAAACTATAAGAATCCTAGAAGAAAACACTCTTAATGCATATTGGAGTAGACAACCAATTATTGATCAAATCCCCAAAAGCAAATGCCATAAAAGATAAGATAGACAAGTAGGACCTTATCAAACTGCAAAGTTTTTCACAGCAAAAAAACAAAAAACAAAAAACAACAGCAAAAAAAACAATCAAGAGAGTGGAACAACACCTTATAGAATAGGAAAGAAATATTTGCTAATTACGTATCTGACAATGGCCTAACATCCAGGATCTACAAGGAACTCAAACGTGCTGAAAGGAAAAAAACAAGCAAACAATCCTATCAAAACGTGGGCTAAGGACACGAATCGACACTTCTCAAAAGAAGATATACAAGCAGTCAACAGATACATGAAAAAATGCTCAGCCTCACTAATCATCAGAGAGATGCTCATCAAAACCACATTAAGATACCACCTAACTCTGGTAAGGATGACCATCATTAATAAACAAAAAAACAACAAATGCTGGCACAGATGTAGAGAAGGGGGGGGACTTCTACACTGTTGGTGGGTGTGCAAACCAGTTCAATTTCTATGGAAAATAGTGTGGTAATTTCTAAAGGAACTAGAAATTGACCTTCCATATGACCCAGCAATCCCCCTACTGGGAATATACCTGGAGGAACTCAAATCATTCTACAAAAAACAAAAAAACCTGCACATGCATGTTTATTGCAGCACTCTTCACAGTAGCAAAAACATGGAACCAACCTTGATGTCTGCCAAAATTGGATTGGATAATAAAAATGTGGTACACATACACAATGGAATATTATGCAGCCATAAAGAAGGACAAACATATGAATTTCGCAGCAACTTGGATGGATTTAGAGTCTATCATACTCAGTGATCTATCACAGAAACAGAAAACAGAGTACCACATGTTCTCACTCATAAGTGAATCCTGAATATTTTTCATAATACTATAAGAAAGAGATTGTCAGTAGTGGGATACTACCGGGGTAGGAGTGGGGGCACAACATCAGTAAGGGTACCTGATCTCAAACCAGGAGAAGTGGGGACCAAAGGGAGGCCCAAACTTTACCTGTACGATGATCA